TCCCACTTCCGTGCGGGACAAGATGGCGTCCTTCGCCTGCTCATCCCCAGAGGCAGCCCCTTGCCCCCGCGGCGCCTGACGCTCATCACTGCGCCCACGGCGCGGCGGCTCCGGCGGGAAGCCGCGGCCGCCGTCGCACCTCGGGGGCTGCTCGTCGGGGCCGAAGGCGATGCCCGTCATCTCCTTCATCTGGGCCTGGAACTCGGACCGCATCAGCCGGGCGAGGTGCTCGCCCTGGGACCTCAGGTTGGTCTCGTTCTTCTCCTGCTCCTTGTCGCGGGTCATCTGCGCGTACTCCGGGTCGATGCGTTGCAGCCTCTTCCTGGCCTTCTCGATGCGCCGCTGCTTGAACTCCCCCTCAGACAACGACTCCCCGTCGGTGTCCACGAAATTCCGGCGCCGGCCGCGCCCGCTCCGCTCCCTTCCGCCGTCGCGGTGGTCCCTGTGGTCGCGGACATCCTTGTAGTCGCGGTAGTCGTACTCGTCCTCGTACCTGTCCTCGTACCTGGGGCCACCGCGATGCGGGTAGCGGAAGTCACGGCCGTGAGAGTAGCGGAAATCACGGTCGTCGCGGCCGCCACCTCCGCGGCCACCTCCGCGGCCACCATGGCCACGACCGCGCCGCCGAAGTCCCTCTCATAGCGACCCATTGCCTCACTCCTGAGTAGTTTCGTCCACGTCAAAAATCTCGCCCTGACAATTTGAGCCGTGAAGCTGTACGGGGAGGTTTACCGGATAACCCAGGATGAACAAGTCCAAAATGTATTCCAGAACCCAATAAGCAGCCAGGCCAGGAGGCAACCCCAGAGATCTTGACCTGGCCAGGCGCCCAGTAAGGAGACCCCGAAGATGGTGGAAGCCTCGCACCAAGCATCCAGGCCAGGGAACAAGGGTACAACTGCCGCGGGGCACCATGGGAGAATATAGCCAGCCTCTATTTACGTTCTTTGGGAGCACAACTAGAGTGGAGCCCACAGGGACCAATACCAAATCTAACCATGTGACTCGTTTGTCCTCCCCGGAGAGGTCGGAGGCCTCAGAAACTTTGACGTCGCACGTCAGCGCAATGCACTCATATAGACACGCCCGACAATATGATGTGCTGAGTCCCAAAATGTCGTCGACGAAACGGCGCATACTGATATCTGGAACGCACGGGGAAGGCCCGGACACTTTAGTGCAAGTAGACGGGGGCGATGATGACGAAGCTGATGACGAGAAACCCTGAGACGTGAACTTCTGCTGTGCGCGGCGTGCGCGGAGCTCCTGGGCTGCCAGGAAAATGCTGAGAGCTGCACCGCTCATGCAGCCACCAATTGGGACGCCTCGCAACTCAAATACCACATTGCCCAGGACAACGAGAGAGAGCCAACAGTAGCACGTGAACGCCAAGAGAATATCTGACGCCTCCACGCAGTACCAACCTACCGGAATCGTCGAAGATGCCACCTTCGTGACTTCAGCACGCCCACGTTGAACAAGAATCTTCAGGGATGGAATGTTCTCTCTGACTGCTTCCACCACCTGCGCCCATGACGAGGCAATCGCGCTGGACGACACTTGCTCGTACGCTTGGTCCAAGTCTGCGACAACCACGGAAATCTCTTCCATTGCAACGCCACATCTGCAACATGAGCGTGAGCACTCTGGAGATAAAGATCGCCTGGCTAGGTCCACCTCCACTGCAGCACGCTGCATAGAGAAAACTTCGTAACCAATGTTGCCAATTCTGAGCATACCACGAGCTGCCCGGGCAATAACTCGAAAACCAGCTCCACCAGGACAATCTTTGGTGTTGACCACACGTCGAACACAACTGTGACGAGGCTTGGTGCACGTCTTCGTCCCGTCGGGTAGCCAACACTTGGACTTCCATAGCGGAAAAATCATGGGAGTGCGCGTCGAACGGCGTTCTGGGGGAAGCTGTCGATGGCCGCGGAGCCACGGCGGTAAACCACAGAGCACTCGCGTCCACATCCAAGTTTTGACGTCGGTGACTGTGAGATCAGGCCGCATGACCCAGTCGGGGTCCTCCAAAATCGATCCGGCCAAATACTGCATCAGAGAATCCCCATCACAACACCAAAGGCGGTCGGCCATCTTGTCGTCCGCCATCACGACCTCGACGTTGTAGACATCCAATGCAAGAGACATGGGATGTTCCATATTTCCCCATTGCCAAGGCTGGGAGTCTAGATATGGGCACCGTGTCCAGGCCTCGGATATGGCATCGCAGACGGTGCGAACAAGCCGTTGGGTTGGCCGTCTGTGAAGACGCAGTCGTGCAGACCATACAAATAGCTCCTTTCGCGTCTCGCCAAGCACACGCCGGAGACTAGGCCACTGGGGAAGACGCCACGGACCATCCAGTGCTCGAAGACGTAGGGGAGGCCGAACTGGAACAGATGCATCTCGTACAGGTGGCTCCGCGAACATGTAGGACTGGCAGAACCTCGGAGCCGAGACCTGGCCTTTCCACACGTGCTGGCCTTTGAATGCATGCCGGACACGGGCATGCACCCAATTGCGAGCCGACGCCATTCGGAGGAAACCCAACCCCTTCCGAAAGGCCAGTTTGACCTGGCGGAGAACTCCATGGTGGCGGAGGGCACGGTGAAATTGGAGTGGTGGTACTTTGATTGCAGGGAGCCCCAGCCGACGAAGCCACCCATCCAGACCACGGTAAGCCATACCGCACCTGTGAAAAGATCGAAGGATATGTGGGGCACATTCGGCTGCATGGTACACAAGATCGGCCAATTCTACACGCGGCCATCGTGGAAGCGGGATGTGAGGGCGTTTGTGGGCCAGCCACGATAATAGGAGACCCACTCGTTTCCTTTCAAACAGCGGCAAAGGACCAATCGTACCTGACAGTGCGAACTCTTCCCTCTGTTGCCGACGATAGAGAGACGAAAAGGGCCCCACATCGCATAAGCAACCAGGTAGGTCCCGGAGACACCGAGGACCATCAGCCGAAAGATAAGGACCAGGAAAAATGCATAGGCGATGAAATTGTACTGGGTTGGTGCGAGGATGTCGTAGCCACCCCTGCGGGCGACGCCGTCGAGATTTTGATTTCACAAGATCAGCAAGAAGAGGAGCACGTCCGCGACGTAGCTTGGACGTATCAGATTCCTGACCATCTACTGAATTTGCTGTCGGTTGGTACCGCCGTAAAAGAACTGCTTCCCAATGGTAAGCCGCACCTTCAGACCGGCAAAACAGCAGAGGAAGTGCGAGCATTGTGCCAAGACTCCCACGCAGAAGTTTGTAGCGAGGACGTCGACCTGCACCTTCAAAAGGAAGTACAATGGCCCGAACATGTTCTGAGAATCTCGACGCGAGACCCCCTCGAGAAACACCATCTCGGGAATGACGTTGAAGACTAGCTTTGCCAATGTACGTGCCTGTAGTAGATGCCAGTAGATACACGGCTGACGAAGCTACGGAGGAAGAAGATGCACATGTAATACGAGCTAGCCGTTCCAAGAGGAACCATGGGCTATCACCTGGAGAACCCGACGCAGGTGCATACATAAAATATTCGGCCCACTCCTGAGGAAGAAGGTGCATAATTTGCCGGACCCAGGTCGGACGATTCGCACATCTTCAAGCACATCTGATACGAACAATGCCTGCTACGACTAAAAGTTCGGCCCACAGTACATGCAAGACTCTACCACGCAGAAGTCCACCACGTTGCGATAGACCCATGTTGAAGGCCCAGCCCATGATAAAGTCAACTGCGGGGACAGGGTCACGCCACCGAAGCAGGCCCCAGCACCATGAGGCCACCGAAGAGGCTAATACTGAAGCGGGTTGTCGAAGGGCCTTGTGGTTGTCCAACTGCTGATCCAGAAACCGTTGTGCACATACGAGGCTTGGGTGGTTACCACGAGGGACGGGCCACCGTACGCGATGGCGATCAGGGCCCTCACCTTGAACGCCGGGGAGAAGAAGTAGACGAAGTAGGAGTAGAGCAAGGTACCAATGAGAAGAACAGCCACACCATGAATCACGTATACCACGCATTGTGGAGAAACCCGTGCTGCCCGAAGACGCCTGACGTCCGGAATACAGCCCGTTCACTGAGAGAGTAAGCAGCAAGAGAAGAAGACATCGCGGGATGATATGCCGCCCATCTTTTTTCCAGTATCGAGCGCGGACGCCGCCAGAGTGACTTCGAGCGCGTCGTGGGCCACTCTGGCCCTCGAGAAAACGCGGCTGCGGAATGGAAAGGGGAGGGGGTTGGGAAGGTTACGGGGAGGGGGAGGAGGAGGAGGAGGAGGAGGAGGAGGAGGAGGAGGAGGAGGAGGAGGAGGAGGAGCAGGAGCGCAGGAAGAGCATGAGTAGCAGGAAGATCAGGATGACGAGGAGGATGAGGAGGATGAGGGTCTGAACGTGGAGCATGACGGTATCGGGGAGGGGGGAGGGGAGGGAGAGTGGGGTGGGGTGGTGTCGGGGAAGGGGAGGCGGCTGGGGGACGGATGGGGGACGGAGGGGGAGGGGGATCGGGAGAGGGAGGGGAGTGGGAGGGAATGGAGCGAGGGGAGCGGGAGTGGGATGTCGTGACGTATGACATGTCGTAATTTGTGCAACTTGGGGGCCTCTTCGGGGTCTTCTTGGAGGCCTCTTGGAGCGTCGCGGGGTTTCTGAGGCCGTCTTCCTCCTCCTCCTCCTCCTCCTCATCATCATTTGCCCCGCTACCCGGAGCTTCAGGGACAGCACGCTCTAGCAGGGGGCCAGCACGCAGCGGCCAGTGGCCTTTCTCCTCCTCCCCCTCCTCCTCCTCCTCCTCCTTCTCCTCCTCCTCCTCCTCCTCTTCCTCTTCCTCTTCCTCTTCCTCTTGCCTGTTCTCCTCTTCCTGCTCCTTCGCCTCCTCCGCCCCTCCTCTCTCCTCCTCCTCCTCCTCCTCCTCCTCCTCCTCCTCCTCCTTCTATTCCTCTTCATGCACCCCGCTTGCCAGAGCTCCCGAGACAGCAAACTCAAGCAGAGAGGGCAGCACGCGGCTGCGCCGGCCCCGAGCGCGGCGCCCGCCGCCAGCGGCTGGACTGTGCGAGTCCAAGGAAAGCGCCATTAGCCTCAGCTCCTTCGACGCGGTGGACACCAGGAGACCCTGCCTGTTGCAGAGGGGTGCTGCTGGCCAGCGCACGAGTGGGAGGAGCGAGGATTGGGGTCAGGAGCGCGAGGCATGATTGGGTCGGCGGCAAAATCCTGCATTCGCCGATCAACGATTCAGGCAACTTGATGGGTGGCGGGGGCAGGGTTAGGAATTCGTCGGGCACGTGGCGAAATCTGAACCCTAACCCCGCCTCCCACCGATTCAGGAGAATCGATGGTTGTTGGGGGTAGGGTCGGGGTGTCGCTCCCTATTGGGGGAAGGCTGCGCGATAATGATGGGGGACACGAGGGGCAGGATGATTGGGCACGATGTTGGGGGCAGGGCCACGAGGGGCAGGGTGATGGGGCGCACGGGCGCGAGTATGATGATGATGATGATGATGATGATGATGATGATGATGATGATGATGATGGCGATGGCGGCAACGACGATGACCACGACGATGGCGAGGCTGATGATGATAATAATGGTCGTGATGATGAGGATGATGATAATCGGGATGAGGATGAAAATGACGATGAGGATGATGATGCTGATGATTATGGTGATCATGAGTATGATGATAATGAGTATGACGATGACGATGGCGATGACGATGACGATGACGACGACGAGAACGATGACGAGGATAATGATGGTGATGATGATGATGCTGGTGAATATCATGAGGCTGGTGATAGTGATGGTGATGGTGATGGTGACGGTGTCATGATAACGATAACGGTTATGATGGTGATGATGATGATGGTGGTGATGGTGATGGTGGTGACGGTGATTACGGTGATGATCATGCTCATGATGATGATGGTGATGATGATATTGCTGATGCTGATGGTGATGATGACGCTGACGATGATGATGCTGCTGCTGATGATGGTATTGATGCTGACAACGGCGACGTTGATGATGATGACGATATGATGATGCTGATTCCGCAGCCAATGCTGATTTTGATGACGATTATGATGCTGATGCTGATGGCAAGGATGTTGATGCTGATGCTGATGTTTGTTATGTGGTTGATGATGGTTCGGATGATCGTTGAGATGATGATGATGCTGCTGATGATGATGCTCATGCTGATGAGGACGCTGCCGATGATGATGATGATGACGATGATGATGACGATGATGATGATGCTGATGATGATGATGCAGATGTCGATAATGATGGCGATGCCAATGGCAATGCTGATGATTGCTTTTATTATGGTGCCGCTGTTGATGTTGATGATGTCGACGATGACGGCGATTATGATGACGAGATTGGTGATGGTTATGGTGATCGTGGTGATGTTGGTGGTGATGATGGTCATAACCATGATCTGGAGGAGGAGGAGGAGGAGGAGGAGGAGGAGGAGGGTGAAGATGACGACAGATGGTGACGATGGTGATGGTAATGATTATCAGGGTTATGAAGATGATGCTTTTGCTGGTGTTGATGGTATTGGCGATGATGGTGATTGTGTTGACGAGGATGGTTATGGTTGTGTTGATGGTGATGATGATGCTGCTGATGATGATGATGATGGTCTTGCTGATGATGTTGATGATGATGTCGATGATGATGATAATGATGATGCTCATGCTGATGCTCATGCTGCTGCTGATGATGAGGATGATGCTGTTGATGCTGGTCATGATGATGATAATGATGATGCTGGTGACGATTACCAATATCCTGATGATTATTATGATGATGATTCTGATGATGATGCTGATGATGATGCTGCTGATGACGATGCTGATGACGATGATGATGACGATCATGATGATGATGATGATGATGATGATGATGATGATGATGATGATTATTATTACGATTCTTCTTCTTATGATTATCATTCTTATGATGATCAAGGTGATGCTGCTGCTGATGATGATCATGATGTCGATGATGCTGGTGGTGATGCTTGTGCTCGTGCTCCATGGCATGCTTCCCCGCGTTCGTGCGCTCATCTGTTGGCGGTCGCAGCGCCAGCGGTCGCTCAGCGCGGTCGAAGCGGCAGCTGGGCTACGGAAGTGCTAGATAGCGCACACGGTGAGAGACGCGAGGAGAGGGGCAACCGCGGGGGAAGGCAAGGCAACAGGCGAGTTCTAAGACCATGCAGACCATCGCGAGCCTCGTGAGGGCGGCCGCCGGCTCCGCAGGGGCGTCGTGCTGAGGGAGGGCCAGCCACGGCTGACCAGGACCGGCGGCTTCGCAGCTCGCTCTCGCTTGGCCGAGCGAGGCTCAAGCAAGACCAGGTGGCCGATCCAGGAACCGCTGAGCACAACATGCGCGGAGCCTGTGAAGCGGTCGTCCGAGGCCAGGGCCAGAACTCCAGCGAGGCGAGCGTCAGGCACGCAGGGCGAGACTCGCCGACGTCAGGCCCGCTCCCGTCATGAGTGGGGTGCTGGTATGCCTGCCGCCGAGGTGCCATCGCCGCCGTCGCGCGTGGCCAGGAGGCGGGGTCTAGGCCGAGGGGTGGTTGCACCGAGGCGTGGTCTGCGACCTGCGTCGTTCGGGCTTGCGGGGAGGGAGGGAGGAGGAGGGAGGGAGGGAGGGGGAGGGAGGGAGGAGAGGAGGAGGAGGAGGAGGAGGAGGAGAGGAGGAGGGGAGGAGGAGGAGGAGGAGAGGGGGAGGAGGAAGGGGGAGGAGGAGGAGGAGGAGGAGGAGGAGGAGAGGAGGAGGAGGAGGAGGAGGAGGAGGAGGGAGGAGGAGGAAGAGGCGGAGAGGAGGAGGATGAGGAGGAGGAGGATGAGAGGAGGAGGGGAGGAGGAGGAGGAGGAGGCAGGAGGAGGAGGAGGAGGAGGAGGGAGGAGGAGGAGGAGAAGCAGGAGGAGGAGGAGGAGGAGGAGGAGGAGGAAGGAGGAGGAGGAGAGGGAGGAGGAGGGGTTTGGGATGATGATGATGATGATGATGATGATGATGATGATGATGATGATGATCGATGATGATGATGATGGTGATGTGATGGTGATGGTGATGGTGATGGTGATGGTGATGGTGATGATGATGATGTATGATGATGCTGCTGATGATGATGATGATGAGGATGAATGATGATGATGAGATGACGATGATGATGATGATGATGATGATGCTGCTGATTACGATGATGATGCTGATGATGATGATGCTGCTGCTGCTGCTGACTTTGTGATGATGATGATGATGATGATGAATGATGATGATGATGATGATGATGATGATGATGATGATGATGATGATGCTGCTGCTGCTGCTGCTGATGATGATGATGATGTGATGCTGCTGATGAATGATGATGATGAGATGATGATGATGATGATGTGATGATGATGATGAGGAGGAGGAGGAGGAGGAGGAGCACATCATGCTGCCCTCGTCGGGCCTCCTCGGAGCACGGCGGCTGACTCGGTCGAGTGCCTCGCCCGTCCTCCAGGGTGCGGGCTGCAGACCACAGCCTCTGCAACCCACACCCCTTCGGAGTCGCCGAGAGAGGGCGTCGCAGGGGCCCCCCCGGCCGGGGAGATCCGCGGCGCGCGTGCGACACGGCGGGCGGGCGCGGAGGGAGAGCGGGGGCGGGGAGGAGGAGGAGGAGGAGGAGGAGGAGGAGGAGGAGGAGGAGGAGGGGGAGGAGGAAGGGGAGGAGCAGGAGGAGGAGAAGGAGGAGGAGGAGGAGGAGGAGGAGGAGGAGGAGGAGCAGGGGGCCCTTCTGGTAAATGGGCGCTGCGTGTCCCTGGGCTGTCGTCGTCGTCGCTGTGTTCGCCGCCGCTGTCGCCGTCGTTGTCGTCTTCGTCGCCGTCGCCTTCGTCTTCGTCGCCCTCGCCGTCGTCGTCGTCGTCGCCGTTGCTTCTTGTCGGCGTCGCCCTCGTCGTCTCCTGTCGTCGCCGTCGTCCTGTCGCCCTCCCGGCTGCCCCCTCCCCGGGGCGTCTCCACCCGCCGCCCTCCTCCCTCTCCCCTTTTCCTTCGCCTGGCTGGCGGTGGTGGAGCTGTGGCGGGGAGGGGGAGGACGACGAGGATCCCTGTTTCGATGCGGCCAGTTGGCAACACGCGCACTAGCGCTCGCGCACTGGCGCTCCGCCATTTGGTCGCGTGGCAGGCGCGGCTCCCAGGGGGCCCCTACAACTGTCTCGCACGAAGCGACACCCGGCCCCCCTGGGAGCGGGCACGCGCGCCGGGCACTTGCCCCACTGCCAGCGCCCTACTCGGGACTGCGCATGCCTGCCCTTTGCCCGGGGCTTCGGCGCCAACGCGCCCCACTTGGGTGCGCCTCAACCAGAACCAGAACCAGGCGGAGGAGGAGGAGAGGCAGGTCGAGGAGGAGGAGGAGGAGCAGGAGGAGAGAGGGGGGGGGCGGGGGGAGGGTGAGGAGCTGCCGTCGCGTGCGGGTGCGCCACAGCGACCGCGGCGGCGCGGCGGGCTCGTGCGCGCGCGGCCGGTGCAGGGCGCAGGCCACGAGCGCGGGCCTCGCGCGGACGTCTGGGCCCCTCCCCGGGGCTGCCACGCTCGCGCGCGGACCTGTCAGTCGCAGAAGGCCACGGCGATGGTGGCCGTGACGACGGCGTGGTGATGCTGACGATGAAGATGCTGCTGCTGACGGTGACGACGCTGAAGTTGGCGCTGAGGAAATATGTTGTTATGGTCGTTGTCTGTAGTTGCTTGGGCTATGTTGGGGAGGAGGCCGCTATTTCCGTTGAGGGGGTTGGCGACATCAATCATGCAGATCTTGACGACACCGTTGTCGATAGTGATGCTGAAGTTCGATGATGATCAGGATGCTATTCATACTGATCGCGGTGATGACGACGATGTTGATGACGACTGTTGTCCGGACCATTCGGGTGACCCGGGTGATGATGCTGGTGACGTAGCCGATAATGATGATGAACCTGGCGGTGATGATGACGACGATGATTCTGAAGATGATGGCGACGGCGATGTGATGATGATGCTGATGATGATGGTGATGATGATTATGATGTTGCTATTGATACGGATGTTGACGAGGATGATGATGCTGA